ATATATATATATATATATATATATATAATATATATGAAAAATTTATGTTGACGCAAGTTTAGAAAGACTGCTAGAAACTCGCTTGTAATCAAAGAACTCGTATTCAGTTACCCAATTCCGGCAATTTGCGATACGACTCGCGAAAGAAGACTGCACTAATCGCGCCGACGACAACCATGTATTACCAACGAGCTAATTATGGTTGGCTTGGCATGAGATAGTGAGCTCTCATTATAATCCTGTAGGATTCTTGGGTAACTGGTAAGCAGAGCAAAACCTCGCTCAGTTTGCTGCTCTCTTTAGTAAAATCGAGTTCGCGATAAGGATCGATAATGTCGTTCTACCTATCATTTACTGCGAATCGTAATAGCTACTCTTCGCTATGCCTTTTGCATTTAAACACGTTAGTCTTCTTGCTCACTTTTCTCGTTAATCTTTTTTTTTTCCTGACTTCACAAACATATTCCTCGCGCTTGCATATTTAGGAGATTTTATGATGAAATAAAAATATATTCATCCTTTTAGTTCCTGTAAAAATATTGAAAGCAGTGCAAAGAGATTTACGTCATTTACGGCTTTGTTTCTTTTCTTGTCGCATTAATACGTACCATCTTTTCGATATATTTAAAACTCATTTGATGAAAGAGTTGATTTATTCTTGCTGCTGATTTTCACCTTATTTTAAATTATTTTGCGCAATTGTATCTACTGGATGCAAGTAAAAATGATGTAACAATGAAATATTATTGTGTTTGACTAGTGACATCTCATTTTATAATTCTTAGCTTTTATCAAATGATTCTTTTACTAAGAGTCATTCGTGTTCGTTTATGTGCAAATATTTCAAGTCAAATAAAAGTGCATTAGATAATCTCGTGAAAAACGCTTACATTCTAGGCATAATGACTTTCACATTAGTGGCGAGAAGAGTGGCGCCGTCGTTGGCGACACATAGCAATCGGCAAGAGCACCGCTCCCATGAAGAAGCCTCTTAAAATAATTACGACAATCCTTAATCGTCTGTAAACTCGAGAAAATGCCGCTCGTTTGGCGAATTACACTTGGCGAATTGCAGCAATCGATAACGGAATCGAAATGTTCGGAGAAATGCTATCAAAACGAGATGGATCGATTAAATTGATGAAATAGCACGCAATTATATTCATGACGAACACGTTATAGGGAAATAAGACACACATTTATGATGCAAATAGAAAGGAAGTTTTAATAATTTTTTTGTTAGAAATGAATTGTTTTGACTTCGTTTTCTTGCAATAATTAGAATTTTCTACAATTCTAAATACGGAGTTATATAATAATGAAAAACATAATGGTCTTCATTATTTGCCCTAATATTACTTTAAAATTTATATAAAATTGTCATATATCATTTTTACAAAAATTAGAATTTTAATAAAGTTATTACTTTTAATTTTTATAATAAAATAAATTGAGAAATAAAATAGAG